AAATATTTTATAATATATTTGGTTTTGGATTTTGAAAAAGGTAGTTCATCCCTATTGGAATTTAGATATATCAAAAATTAAATAATTTTTCTGAAAATACAAACAAATCAAAGGTCACCAAAAATCAACAAAATGATCAAATTCAATACTATTCCCCAGCAATCAGTCAAGCAGGGCAGCACAGTAAAGTCAAATTCAGTAGGCTCGACCTAGCCCACTGCTTCTTAACACTTCCAACCAATTCAATTTAATTTAACCAAAAATTGAGAGAAAAACTTTACAGAAAATAAGAAAACCTAATTCATGTATGATTTCTAAATTTGAGAATATTACCAAAGGAGTGTAAAGGGGCTAGGAGAATTAGGATAGATTAAACATCTTTTTTAGTTTCTAAACTTTTAATTTTAAATATTTTTAACCTTTGAGTTATTATAAAAAAAATGTATATTTTTAATTATTTTATTAATTAATTTGTTAAATTTATTAAGTTTGTCTATATATATGTATATTTTTAATAAGAAATAAAAAATATTAAAATTAAAAATATAGTAACTAAAAATGATATTTAACCAACTTAGATATTGCCAAAATTGGTTCAGGAATCAAAAACAAAATGTTGGAGACTAGGTCTACTACCACCACCAGCCGCCAGAGACTGGAATGAATCACCTGAAGTATGATAGAGTGACCTTGCACTGCCAGATACCAAGTTGAGTTGCCACTGGAAATGGATGAAGGTGCCTCGAGTTGCCAAAAAGTGGATTGGTGGTCTATATGATGATTTGAGACAGTTTAGTCATGATCAAAAGTGATTGATTCAAATGAAGTTTAAAGTTTCCAACAAGGAAAATCATGGTAGAGCGACGGGTTTGTTTGAAGGAGCAATTGATGATCATCAATCACAAAGATATATAGGGGAGGCTAGTGATTGTTCTTGGAATGAAAAATCAAGAGAGGAAGGGGAGATTTGAGAGGTTGTAGAGGGAAAGATATTCTGGACAAAGGCATTAAGGAACTCCTTAGAGAAGTGAAGAGATAGTTATATGTGGATGAGGACTTGAGAATAAGAGAGGAAGCTTCGACCAGTGGAAATCATGGAGGTGGTTGGAGAGGAATTCGTAGTCCCAGAGATAATAGCAACCCAAAAGAGGATTCACTAGGTTTTTTTAATATTATGCAGTTTTTATAAATCAAATCAATGAATACTCACAAATAATTCCCAAGCAATTGAAATATAATTCACAAGCAATTAAAACTTAAGTAAATAAATTGCGGGAATTTAAAGAATAGGCTTAATAATATCAAGTACTTGCAACATGTCCTAATTCCTCACCTCTTTGATCCAGCCCTCAAATTTTCAATGCTTGAGATTTAATCCAGTGTCCCTTTAACTTCACCAAGTGTTAAAAAAAAAATAGATTATATAATAGTTTTAAGATGTTACCAACTTTTTTTTGTTATAATTTATATTAATCTTTATTGTAAAAAGTTACCTAATTACTTTTTCAATAATTTACCAGTGCTATTAAATTATTATCAGAAAAATGGAAAGAATGAGTACGGATTATTTCTTAAAGATCGAATACACCACTAATTCCCAGTCTTTTACAACTCAAACCCTAATAGGATCTCCCTTCTTCAATTCACGATCAATAGAAATAGCCTCAATTAAGGTTTTGACAAAAGTAGCAGTAGTATCCACTACATTGTCTTTCACCTCGTTTGTAATATCCTTCTCAACTGATATGTCTAGAACAAAGAGTTTAGTATATAATTCCAGTTTAGATTATTGAACCTCCATCTCAATCGCATCTTGCTATGATTCCCTAGGAACAAAGCCTTTATTTCCACCGCGTTTGCAAGAGCTTTAGGATTTAGTCGCAATCTCTAATCTATCCTGTATAGAGCTTTTGGCTTCAGGAGCATGCTTTTCTAACCTTGACCACCTTTCAACAGCTAATTACACTTACCTATAGATGGCATTTACAGCAAAATAGCCACGCACAGTAGCATAAGTAGCCGTTGTTAAAATGCGCATGAAGAGCTTTTAGTGTGACTACTTTAAAACTAGAAATTAAAGTTTGATTGCTAGTGCATAAATGAAATGAACGCAAAAAACGTCACATACCACTTTCCAGCTTTGCTTAGTTCAATTCCACAGTTATACCAACACACTTCTCTAATTGGTAATAATGGTAAGTTCTAATGAATTGTAATTTTTGCAAATAAGTATGTCAATTAAAATTAGAGGGAAGTAGGGTGTTTCTCCCATTTCTTTTGCCATTTAGTCTATGTTTGCCGTGTTTCCATTTAACTCATAGGTGTCGTCATGTTAGCAAAAATTGTGACAAGTGATGCGTGGATCCAATTTAATTAAAATCAAGCTGAGCGAATATTCTATAAAACCCATAAAGTTAACGAACCAAAATCAAAATTATGATTAAGTCCAATTACCAACTACGCATTTTACCAAAAGGATCATCTAGGAAAGAAGTTTCACTTTTTCTAGATGTTACTAGAGGCTTCTTCCCGGTCATTGCTATATCCTTCTGCAGTGTTCCCCTGCTTTCATCCCCTGAGCAGCAAGAGAATAGCAGAAGCAGCTCATCTCTGAAAAGGCAGAAACAAGAACTTAACCCAAATGTTTGGTGTTGTGTTCCCAAACCATAGCTTCCCGATCGACATCTCTTCTTTCGCCCAAATCGATACCTTCCACTGGATCCTCGACATGAACACATTCGTCGGCGAGGCCTACGATCAAATCCGAGAGATGTGCATCTTCCTCCTCAACAACTTCACTTTGCCCCCAGACAAAGCATTAGCCGTATACGTTCAATCCCCTGGCTCGTCCTTCGTTTTCTGCGGCGCCGTAACTGTGGCGCGCCCCTCCGCTGTTCTGTCCCTCTTGTGGCCGGAGCCTGGGGGCCAGATGCAGCTGACTTCGGCGGATTCTGTCCCCCCATCAGCAAAGATTGGGGTGTCGGTGGAAGACCTGGCTTCGTTGCCGTCCCTTGATGTGGCAGCCGAGAAGAAGATCGAACGGCTGGCTTTGAAAGTTGGGGAAAACCTGTTCAATTTCATGCAGTCATTTTGTGGGGTTGATGGGACCAAATTGGTGGTGCCTATGGACATTCTGGATAGATGGTTCAAAAAGTTCCAGGAGAGGGCCAAACGTGATCCTGAGTACCTCAAAGGTTTTGCCTTGTAACTCAATTAACTTTTGTTATTAAGATTATGGTTGTATGTTTTGAATTGGCAGAGTTATGTTATGACGAAACAAGTTTATGGTTAAATTGCAGATGCAGTGTTATTTCATTTTATTTTTAGCATTATTTCTTTATTGCAATTTTTTTTTTTTTAAATTAAAAATTCTTAACTTTGGTGCAATGAAACTGATGAACTCAAATTGCACTTCTGTGCAAATAACTAGAGAATGCACCGTAGCTAATGCTGAAAGTGTCCGTTTTGGTTTTAGAATGTTTTTTGTATTAGTAATGATGCTGTGGAGTGTGGCAGGCTATAGGAATTTTCAGAGGTATGGCTGACTGAATTAGACAACTTAACTTGAGAAAACTTGATGATTGTTGCATGGTTTATTAGTTACTAACTAAAATTCAAAAGGAGTGAAGAAGAATCTATGATTGCTTTGTATGGTAAAGGCTTGCAAACGCAAATGTTAAATTCAGTCTTGGTCCTTAAGTTTGTGTTCGGATTAATAGAAATTGTGTGAAGAGTAGTTTGTTGACATAGGCTTGAATTTTGATGATTGTCTTGCCGTAATACTAACGTTTCAAAAAATGTGAAAAGTAAGTGACTGAGCTAGAATTTAAATTTAAGTAAGTGAAATTCTCCTTCCTTATTTATTTATTTATTTTTTTCTGAATGACAATACCCTATTTGGCTTACTTCTAAATGTTCATAGGATGTCTATTTGACAAAATAGGAGGAAACCAGCTTTGAGTTCTCTTTTACTGGATAGACCATGGCCGGGAGTCACTTATTTTAGAACCCAGTTTTAGTTTGTTACTCTCAGACCTAGGAATGCAGCCCTCATTGTGAATGATTATAGTTCATACATAACTCAAGATATTCATTTTAACTGAAAGTGATAAGAAGTTGTCATCTCCAAATGTGGCATTTAAATCTACAAATTATTAGTAGGCTGAGTGATTGGGAAAGTAGTCTCCCCCCACTTATGTTTTCCATTTGCAGTTGATAATCATATAGCTCCGATTGCATTTTTGGGCTCTTAAGTTGGATCAATTTAGAATCGAACTTGCACAAATATATTATTTGCAAATTCATTTTCCTCATATAGCTCTGATTACATTGTTGGACTCTAAGTTGGATCATTTGAGAATTGAACTTGGAAAAATATATTAAATTTAAATAATCAGGACATGTATTTACAGTATGTACACCAAGGTTATTTGATAGATTTGTTCCCACTGCTTGAAATTTAGCATCATAAGTTATTTCAGCAATTTGATGATGTTTCAAAGTGATTAGACATCTTTAGCACTTTGGTTTGTTTTGGTTTGTTTTTACGTATGGTAGTGCCCTCTCTTTCTATTCTCGCTCTCAGCAGGCATTTCTACTCTAACTGATTTATTACTTCATTTTTCAATTCCTTAATCTCCCATTTAAATTTTGTATAAGTGCAGTTTTGTTGATCTGTATGTGATATTAACTTTGAAATACATTAATTATCTTGGCATTGTGAACTTCATACTGAAGGATTGACTCATTGACATATTAAGTGAAATGTTGCATGGCATAGAAGGCAAACTTGGATGATAATTTCCTTGATCGAATGTCTTTAGTTCTTATGAGAATTTCATTACTAGAAATATGATTTATACAACCATAGAGGATCTGGATATTTCACTTATATTACATTCCTTTTACTGTTTTTACAGTTTGATAGTAAAGCTGTTTACTGTTATAAACAACATTGAGTAGAGCCTCTTAGGTCTGAAGCATATGCCACTAATTACTTTTTAGGCTGTTGGATAGGAGGAATCCATTGCAATGCTGCACAGACCTTCCTTAGCATCCATATCACACTGCATCCTTGTGTATCCTTCCTCACCCCATCCAGTACCCCAAGAATTCTTGACAAGCCAGCACTTGGTTCCATTACTAGTGGTTCCCTGACCAACAGCCGTAACGCCATGGTCTAGGTCTGTTCCACAATCTCCTGTAAAAACACCACTAGAATAAAACTGAAAGGCATATCCTCCAGCATCAATGGAAACCGATACTGGTTGTTTGCCACAGCCTTCAATAATGTTGCCTCACTATTTGCTGGAACCTGTTCATAGCCAGTAATTTTAGCTGCATGAGAAGCTTCCTTCTTCTTTGTGTCACTAGTTCCATCACTAGCAGTGTAAGGATAACCTGCTTCAGTGGTGATGCCATGGTTTTTTATGATAAACTCAAAGGCATCCTCCATCCAACAACCTTGATCCTCACCATTAGCATCACAATCCACAAGCTCTTGTTCTGTGAGGGAGAGCAGTTTTCCTGTAGTCAGCTTGGTGATTCCCTCTGTTGCTGCTACAGCTGAGAATGCCCAACAGCTACCTGTTTTTGTTTATGAGGCATTAACAGTGAGCAAAATTAGCATATGATAAAAGAAAAATATTAAATAAATCACTGATGTTCATAGGAGACTAGCAGGGATATGAATAAAAAGATTTTATTACCGCATTGGCCTTGGTCCTTGATGGAAGTAACAGCTCCCTTCTTCCTTCAGTCCATGGAAGCAGGTACAGAAGTCACATTTTCATATTTGAATGAAGTTGATTTGATTAACTTTGGCTCAAGAGACCTTTTGAATCCATTATGACATGCTCTGAATTCTTCATTGGTTTGGTCTGCAAATTCATTGATACCTAGCTTGTAGGGCTTGTTCCCAGCTGCATTGAATGACTCGACAAACTGAACATTGTCCTTGAATATCTCAAAACGTCTCTCTTTCTCTTCGGCATCCTTGTAGACCTTTCCATACTTGGCCATCCACTGCTCATGTCTCTCGCGCAAGGACACTTCTTTAATGGTGCGGGACATAACAAGAGCAGTGAATAGTGCCAAGAAAAGAAAGATAGCAAAAAAGAAGTGCCTTTGGGAAACTGAAATCATGATGAATGTTAGAATACTGTATATTGAACATGTGAGTTGGTTCTGAAGAATGCCTGCTGCCCTAATGGTTTTTATAGAGAAAACTTGATCCGTTTTGTAGCAGTATCTGGATGTGAATGGAGAGGGAATAACCTTGTTCGTTGTGTATCTGGCAAACTGTTGTGATTTTGATGGCAAGATTTTGTTCCGTGCAATCTCCTCTGCATTTTAGATTTTGGATTCAGCTTCATGCAACTATTTTGTATTGTGTAATGTCTTCTTCTATTCAAGCTTATGTTTCGATTGTCAACTTCTAATAAATCCTTTTTTACAGGGTACCTTACATAAAAATATAAGTTTATTATTTTTAATTAATTTTATTTAATTATTTATATTTTTATAATTTTTAATTAATAATTTATATATTTTTACATCATTAAAAAAATTTATGACTAAAATGACAACACAAGACAAGGATTATTGTGAAGTATTTTAACTTTAACTTTTCTAATATTCTACTATAAGAAAATTTTGGCTTTTTTTTTATAATTGTTTTAAAAAAAGTCCTATACATTAATATAACTAATAAATTATACAAAATATCAATTAGAATTAATTTAATCATAATAACTTTTATGAGGTATTATTTGGAAAAGTATTGTAAGTATTTTCAACGCATTCTACAGTATATAGAATAGATAGCCAAATGTTTCCAATTCAGTACCATCCACATCAACGTTTAGGCTTATGCTGAGGTTCAGGCTCAAGCCCAGGCTCAGGCTACCTTTGTAGCCGCTATTTTTTAACCAAACTAAAAATATTTTGGTAAGAGCTTATGATTTTTAGGTAATTATTAATTATGATTAATTACTAGTATTTAACTAAATTAATTAATCCCAATTAACTCAATCAAATCTTGATTAGTATAAATTAACTTAATCAAATTTTGATTAAAGTTAATTAAAATCAATTAGTAAATTAATTGATTATTATAAGTTAGTTAAACAAAATTTCAATGTTGGGCCGGTTTGGGTTTTGATGGGCTTCGACCCATTTCCATTTCTTTTTTGTTTTTAGCCCAACAAAAAGAAAAAAATAAAAGTTGGGCCTGGCCCAAAAAAGGGGTTTAAGCTCTCAGTTAAATGGGTCAACTCGACCTGAATAACACAACCTGAAAGGATAAACGGGCCGAAATGGATCTAACGAGGGTTTTAAAGCTTGTTCTTTGTGTTCTTTGAAGATTCAAGCCACAACCAGAATCTGGTACGAGTTTCCAGAATCCTGCAGATTCCAGCCGGATATTCGCAACCCCTTAAAAAATTCAAGAAAATGTGAAAAAGAGTCCAGAAAATTGGCAAACACATACCGTTGGGAATAGCCCAACACCAGCACAGCAGGCCCATTGATACATTCAGTTCAAGGTAACCCCGAGGGCACGCTCACCCAAATGTAGTCACGTGGGTGGTGACTGTGGATTAATTAAATATTTACACGTGGGACTTTATATTATTAATTGGGATTATAAATACCTCACGTACCTTTTTTTTTGGTTAAAATCAATTCTTTAACCCCTCATCTTACAAAATTGATAAGTTTTAGTCCATAATCTTATAATATGATATTTTTAACCATTTACCTTAAAAATTGGTAAGTTTTAACCCCTCACCTTACAAAATTAATAGGTTTTAACCTTTTATCTTATATTATGACACTTTTAACCCCTTATCTAATATTATGACACTTTTAACCCCTTATCTATATGAATTAAAGAAAATAATCCTAATTTAACATCAGATTTTAATGTTATATTAATTCTGTTAGTTAACTGTCAATTCTGTTAGCTAACTGTTAGTTTTTTTAACTAACAGTCAGTTTTATTAATTGACTGTTAGTTCTGTTAGTTGACTATTAACATCTGTTAGCATTCTGTTAATAAAACTAACAAATAAAATTTAATTTAAATTTCATATTTTTTATAATAAAAT